TTCCCAAGCCCAAAACCCTAAAAACTTTAAATCCGCCACAAGCATTATGGAGTCCGTTGCTCTCGCGCTGGAAGAAGACGATGGGGAGAGTGGACAGAATGGGGATGACAGTCAACTTGTGGCCGGCTTTGCTGCACGCTGGCATGGTGGACACCGCTGCCTTAACCTGGGGTTTTTCTTGGTGTGAACTTTGTCCTGCTCTTCGTCTTCTGATGGGCTGCGCACTTCCGTTGCCAAGGGCTTGCAGCCTTGACTGGTGAGGGTCGAAAACTGCTCTGTAGTGGCGCGCTGTTACGTGAAGCTTGACGTGGTTGTATGTCCTGTTACCCTGGGACGCTTCTGCACAAGTTGTGCTTTCCGACCTAAGTGCAGGTGGAAAGAGGAGCTGCAAAAAAAACATCCTACGGGTTGGTAATGGTTTCCATGACATGTACAAATCTCAGGAATGATCCTCAGCGAGATCAGGGCGTTGAAGTTTGAGGGCCGAAGGTTCAAAGAGACCTTGGCCTATTTCATGGCCAGCAATGCTCCTTGCCCTGTGTGTGGTTTAGGGTTTTGGGTGTGGAAGAAGTTTTCTCCGTAATGGCCCTAAACCTGAATAGAATCCCGATATGACACCTGTGCGTCCCTGCTGGGCTGCCGCGGCAACTGGCATACGGGTAGATTCCAAGTTCTAAGCCTGGAGCCCTAAGCCCTAAACCGAAGGTTTTGCGTTCGGGGTTTCAGGGCTCTCCCCCACACTGACATGAAGCCCAATGACCAGTAGTCGCCCCCAAGCTTTAAGCCCTAAACCCTAAGCCCTGGTAGTCTTTGACACCCCCCTTTTTCAAATTCTCTGTTCGTTTGGGGGAGGTAAGGGTTTGCGGTCTCCTTGCGATCTTGGACCAGTTTTGGTGTTATCCCATCGCACTGATGATGCCACCTAGTCATGCGTAATTATACGCAATACGCTAGAACATGCCATAACAGGATATTGTATTAGGGGTGAGGGTAGCTCTATTCTTAGACCGAGGGCTGACAATCTGCAAAGTATCTCCACATGAGTTGTTCGCAACGCTGGGTGGTGTTTCTGGGTACTCTGGGTTGCTGTTAAGGAACTTAAATTAAGTTACCATAATGGGTATATATAGGAATTTATAGGGTTTCCCCAATATAGTATCTTAAATTAAGTTCCTTAACAGCAACCCAGTACTCTGCACCTCACAGCACTTCGCATTTTGAGGTGCCAAAGCAGGCCTTATCTGAAAAACTACCCAAGTACCCTAAACCCTGAACCCTAAACCGCGGTAGCTTGTGGTTTGAAGGAGCATGCATACCTACGTGTGTAATGGAGACTCCTTCAAAGGCAGATCTTGGAATTATGGGTTCCCCTACTCCCCTCTTTACTACTTCCCCGCGATACCCATTTAATTAGGTTTATTTAGGGTTGAGTCATGCTCACGAAGGGGGAACCTTGGGGGGGAATTGTAGTGGGGGTGGTTAGCAGAACTCAGAATATAGAATCTCATCATTTAATTCAAGCACGCTGGTTTCTCTGAGGAGCATGCCCCTCTTCTTGTTGGAAGCTTCATCGGGGCTATAGCCCTAAACCCTGAACTCTAAGCATGCTGCCACAGGATGGAATCCTTGGAGTTTAAAGGCCCTACGGCTAAAGTTGGGGGAGGCCACTGCACCCCACCCCCTCCTACCTACTACGAGCTTCACGGCGCCGTAGCTACTTGGTCTAGGGTTTATGGTTTTCCCTTTTATTAAGCAAAACCAGGCCTACGAAATCCTTCAGGCAGAACCTTAAACTTCTTGTAGAAACCTTACACCCTTGTGTAAGCCTACATTGGCCAATCCCGGAACGCTGAGCACAGCCACCACAAAGGCTGCCAACCCGCTCTTAATGGCTGCAACTTCACAAATCACACACATCCCTGGGCTTTCAGGTGCGTGCCTGAGAAAACCCTCACACCCCTAAACCTCGAACCCTTGAAGCCTCTAACCTTGAAGCTTAGGCCCTAACCTAAAGTTTAAGCCCTAAATCCTAAACCTTGAAACAGGTGCAAGCCATTGTGTGCGACGAAGTAGATGCCTTGACGCCTAAAGCGCAACCAGGCACACGGAGTACAACCAGAAGGGTTCTGGGTCATGTAGGAGCCTATATGAGCTGTAGTCTAAAGTCCTCAAAGTCGGTTATATAGGAGATTACATAGGGGACTACTGTAGGGCTACGGGGGTTATGAAGCGAGATGCTAGGAGTTTCGACTAGAGCTCATATAAATACCAATATCGTTTGAGTCTATCCGGGGCACCCTATACCATAATTGTTCAAGGATTCTGGAACCATAATATTGGTGATGAAACAGGCGCCTATAGAAGTT